AGCCCAAAAATAGTTAAGCTAAATACCATAAGAAAGAAGAAAAAATGTTGAATTTTAAGAAATTCGGTTTTTCGAATTTTTGATAATTTTAGATAATTTTAAATTTTAAACTAAAGGATGAAGGCTTTTAAGTAAGTAAAGTGTTTTTGAAGAGCACAAAAATAATGAAGCTAAATGCCATAAAAAAAAGAAAATATGTTGAATTTTGAGAAATTCGGTTTTTCAAATTTTTGATAAATTTGGATAATTTCCAATTTTTTGCCAAAGGGTGAAGATTATTAAATAAGTAAAAATTTTTTGAAAAGCCCAAAAATAATGAAGCTAAATGCCTTAAAAGAGAGGAAAAAATGTTGAATTTTAAGAAATTAAGTTTCTCGAATTTTTGACAAATTTTAATAATTTTAGATTTTTTACCAAAGGGTGGAGACTATTAAATAAGTAAAGCATTTTTGAAGAGCACAAAAATAGTGAAGCTAAATGCCATAAAAAAGAAGAAAAAATGTTGAATTTTAAGAAATTCGGTTTTTTGAATTTCCGCTAATTTTCCATAATTTTAGATTTTTTACCAAAGGGTTGAGATAGAAAATTGGGTAAAGTATTTTTGAAGAGCACAAAAATAATGAAGCTAAATGCCATAAAAAAGAAGTAAATATGTTGAATTTTGAGAAATTCGGTTTTTCGAATTTTTGACAAATTTTAATAATTTTAGATTTTTAACCAAAGGGTTGAGATAAAAAATTGGGTAAAATATTTTTGAAGAGCACAAAAATAATGAAGCTAAATGCCATAAAAAAGAAGAAAAAATGTTGAATTTTAAGAAATTCTGTTTTTTGAATTTTTGATAATTTTCGATAATTTTAGATTTTTTACCAAAGGGTGGAGACTTTTAAATAAGTAAAGCATTTTTGAAGAGCACAAAAATAATGAAGCTAAATGCCATAAAAAAGATGAAAAAATGTTGAATTTTAAGAAATTCTGTTTTTCGAATTTTTGATAATTTTTAATAATTTTAGATTTTTTACCAAAGGTTGAAGACTTAAATAAGTATAGCGTTTTTGAAGCAATAATGTAAAGCGTGCGATGTATGAATTAGGGTATGCGTTTAGAATGTACTGTAGGTAGGTGTATCAATTAGTATTTGTTCTTAAACAATTGTAGGGGGTTAGGTAGTGATTGAAGTAGGTAAATTGAGATTTACGGCAGTATTAATATATATCTACTGCTTAACATTATTTTTTATTTTTGTTTTTCAAGTTTTATCAAACTATTCAGTAAATTATAACTGATCAATTTTACCAAGCACTTTATCATACGTTTCACCGAACTGTTCAGTAAATATAAATGTAACGAACACTTATCTTACGTTTTACTGAACAGTATGTGAAATTTTAAAGACTCAGTTGAAGTTTTAATTTATCACTTGAAGCGATAATATACATATACATATATCGTAAGGTATATGCTTTTCACATTATTATTTAATGAAATTGTTTTTACAGTCTAGTTCTTGAAAAATTACTGTTTTTTTTTTGTCGTTTCATAACAGTTTTATCTACCGAACTAAATTCAGTAAAATCTCAGAAATAAATTTTCTTCGTGCAGAGAAAGCAAACAAGAAAGATAATAATTAAAAATTCCTAATAAGATTTTATATAATCGAGAGATTTCGAGAGCGGAATTTCGAGTGTATTGACATGGTTAACAAGGCAGATCACACACTTGGTCGACCTTAAATCATGGCTCGTGAAACGTTACACGAACCATAACGAGGCCCGCACGGATTTCGGATGCTTTACTTATCTCAGCGATGCACCATCCTTTCAATTCGCACCGGTGGTGCACGAATACGTTTCACGTTGACAATATATATACATATATGTGTAATGGTATATGTATATACATGCACAGATTGAGTCTGGAGAGAGAGAGAGAGAGGGGTGTGCCCCTAGACCATAGAGTGTGTTGCCATACAGAGCTGACGATGCGTTTAATTAAACCGGCTGTCGCCCCGTCTCTTGGCATTGTTTTCCAGGCTTGAAAAGTTCTGTCCTGGACCGCCATTCTATTGTGAATGGCAAACTCTCGTTTGCGCGCAATGCACACTATTGCACATTCAACAGATATAACAATAGTCTGTTATTTGTTGCTCATTTGACGGACAACAGAAACGTATCTGTCAGGAGTCAGAAAATTTGCTGTTATCAGCGACGTAATAGAGAAGAAAGAGAGAGAAAAAAAAGAAAGGGAGGAAAAAAAGTGGTTCATCAATGTGACATGTGTATGATTTTTCTTATTGGGATCAGAGATGATTCCAATTTTTTTGTTTTGTTTATTATTTTAGCACTGACATTCACAGTTTTTCTATTCTCTTAATTTGAATCAGTTAAAAATCATAGTTTTACCTGAAAATCAGTGACGCACCTTTTGCTTCTACAATCAGTCAAAAATAACTAATTTTCAGTGAAAAAAATTATTGATTATCAGTAAAAAAATAACAGGAAAATTAGTTATTTTTGACTAATTAAATCAGATAAAAAATCTACTGAAACATCAGTTATTTCTAACTGATAATCGGTTATGCTTTACTGACGATCAATTATCTTTAACTAAATGATCAGTAAAAATATTACTATTTGAATTAGTGACTGACTTTTGGTCTTTTAATTAGTAAATTTTACTAATAAATTAGTAGAAATTTAATTATTTATTTATTCAAGTAGTAAACAGGACAATGCCCTTTCGTCCAAAGTACTTTTAATAGTAATTTTATTGCACTAAGCAAAAATACTAAATATTATTAAAATATAAATTTCTATTTATTAGTAAAAATTAGTAGAAATTACTATCAGAGAATTCAGGAAAAAGTCAGGGATTTTTATTAAATTACTAGAAAAAATTTAATTTTTGAGAAGTTACAAATGATTGCAGAAATTCAATTATTTTCAAAAGTAATAAAATTCATCGCAGAAATTCAATTATGTTAAAAAAAACTCTTCAAAATAAATCAAATTCTTCTCCAAAATTCAATTATTTTCAAAAATTTTCCTCAATTCAATAATTTTCAAAATCTACTATTTTAATAAAATTTGTCAAAAGAATTCAATTATTTAAAAAAAAATTTTCATAAAATTCTAAGCAAACATTTAATTATTTTTGTAAATAATAAAACTTGTTGCAAAATTTAAATTATTTTTTATACAATTTTAATCGAATTTCTCGAAAAATGTAATTATTCTTGAAAATTTTATTAAAATTCATCGAAAAAATTCAATTATTTAAAAATCTGTTGATAAAGTTCTTTATGAGAATTCAATTTTGAGAAACATTCAATTATTCAAAAAATTATTTATTTTTATATTCAAATACTTTAATTCTCGTAGAATTTTATAATAAAAATTTATTTAAACATGAATTTCAGTGAAAATTTTAGATAATAATTGAATATTAAAAGTATTAGGGAATGAATTTTTAGAAATTATTGTATTTTAAAAAGGTTTCAAATTGAAATCTAAAAATTTTAATTCTTCATACTTGTAAGTTTTTAACTGACAATTTTGTAGAATTAATTTTTTTAAAAAAGTTTAATTGAATTTTTTTTTTGAAATTATTTCAAGTTTTTATTTTTTAAATATTTAATTGAAGGATTTCTGAATAATCAAAATTTCGTAAAATTGAATTGTAAACAAATGGATTTAAAAAATTCTCAAGGAACTTTTTGCAATAATTATTAAAAATAATTGATAATTTATTCTTCTTTCGAAGAATTTTAATAAAAATTTTAAAAATAATTTTATTTTCCAATTTTATTTACTTAAAAATATTAAAAATATATAATAAATAAAAATGTATTAAAAAAACTAATGAAAATCACTATTTATTAGTAAAATTTATTTATTCAAAAGCAAAAAATCAGTCACTAATTTAAATTAGTAAATATTTTTACTAATTCCTCAGAGAGAAAAAAACTGTTTTTGTGTTTACGATGTTTTGAATTGTAATTGTGGGAATTTTCTTTCAGAAATTTTATTCTGCTCTCTTTGAAGATTTCTAATGAGATAAAAAAAAAATTAATTAAAAAATTAAAACTCTTAGTTTTAATGGCAAGCAGATGGAATGTGTTTAGGAGTGTCATTATACTAATTTGTTTCCTCATTAAGCATCCTCACTACTTACTCTTATTTAATTGCTCTAAACTTATATGCGTAGAGTATACAAAATTACTCTCTTCTGTTATCAACAGATTGGTTTCAAGAAATTCTTTCCATTATATAATATTTTTTTTATAGTTATTACAGAATTTTTGTTAAAAATTCGAATAGTAAATAAGAATTTCTATTTAGTAATTATACTTGCCTGAATTTAAATTAGGTAATAATAATTCATTAACGTTTGAAAAAAAAATATTTTCAAAATAAACAAAATATAAAATCTGATATATTATTTATATTTGATATTTATTATTTTATATACTTATACATAATTAGTTTATTAGTAAAAATTGACTAATTTTCAAGAATGATTGTTCAAAAAAGAAACTTTAATTGTTTATAAAAAAATAACTGATTGTTTGTGAAAAGTGACTTATTTTTAATAAAAATAAATAATATGAAGCAAAAAATAATTAATTGTTAATAAAAATAAATGATTATTGTTAAAAAAAAGTATAGATTGTCAATTAAAAATAACAAATAATTATTATTAACGAACTACTAATTATTAAAAAAATAACAGATTGCAAATAATATTTTTGTTTAATTTTCGCAACGAAAATTAGTGAGTATAATAACCGATTGTCGGTAAAAAATAAATAGTAGTGTGTAAAAAAATTACGAAAATTGTTATTAAAAAAATAAATCAAATTTTAAAAAATTAAAATAACGATAGTTGAAAATTGTATTTTTAAATCGAAAACATTGAAAAATTCTAATAATCTAATGGAATCGAGAGCGAAAAAAAGGAGGAGCGATATTTAGAGATAAGTTTCAATGTATTATTTTCCCATTAAGCATTGTATAGCGTCTTGAGGTTTCAATTGAAACTTAAAGTTATTTGAAAGTTTACGTTCGTAGTGAAACATAAACGGTTGTGCGCTCCTCGACTTTCAGTTTTTTATTAGTTTAAAAGCATTAAGGTAATAAATAAACAAAATTATTTATATTAAAAAAAAAATAGAAATTCTTAATAAACAGGAGAATCTTTTTCATTTTTTTATTGGTCAATTCTCTTTTTATTGCTAATTTTACATTTATTAAAAATATTAAAACATATTTACAATATTTTTGCTTATAAATCAAGAATAGTTAATTAGTAATTAGTTTATATTTTATTCAAATTGGTAATAATTATATGTAAACAATTTTTTTTCATAATTAATAACTGATTTATAAATATAAATATTAATATTTATAAAAAAATAAAAGAAATACTTAAAATATAAATAAAACAACCAATAATTAGATAAAATTAATAGATTTGAATTAAAAAATTTATTTATTTATAAATAAATAATTATTAATTGGTAGTTGATTTTAATAGATGTTTGTTGTTCATAAATTATTGGAAATTATTTGAATAAGGATAACAATTATTAATATAGTATTAATTATATTTAAAAATTTTTAATATAAATGATTTTAATACAATTTTTTTCTTGAACATAAATTAATAGCTTTGCAAATTATTGAATTTATAAAACTTTAATTTTTCGGAATTTGGAAAATCTGTTTTTTTAGAAATATCTGTTTATGACTTTGAGTGAAATATAATTTAATGACTCTTGATGCTTTTTACTAATGATCAGACGTTACCACGAAAATGTTTTCGATCTAAAATTATTGTTTAAAAAAAAAATCAAATTTTGTAAAAATTACAAATAATTGCAGAAATTCAATTATCTTTCAAATTTAAAAAAAAATTCTCGTCAAAATTCCAATTATGTTTTCGAATAATTTTACAATTAAAGAAATTTGTAAATAACAGTAACAGAACATTTTGTTTGAGTAAAATTTTTTCCTTTATTTTCTAAATATTTAAAACGTTTCAATTTCATTTTCAATTAAAATTTGTTATTGACAAAATAGAATAGAATATGTAATGTTTCTTTTCCAAAAGAAAAGAATGAGTTTCTGAACAATATTGTTATTGAGAAATATAAATATTGTTTTATTATCAATCATGAAAAAATACCTGCATTTTTTTGATCTGTCAAACAATATTTTTTATAGAAAAAAAAACAAAAAAACAAAAAAACAAAAGCATACAGAATACGAAGATTATTATAGTTAATTATTGATTGATTTATTATTTGTTTATTATTTATTTATATTTATATTAATTATTATTTAATTAGTTATTAATAATTTATAATTATATAACCTATCAAATTCGGAGCTTCGTTAGTAAAAGTCGTACTATTCGAAAAAATTACCAAAGTTTTATAATATATGGAATATTGTTGGAAACTTACACGGAAAGCTTACTCTTTAAATTTGAATCAGTTAAAAATAACTGATTTAGAAGCAAAAAGTCTATCACTAATTCAAATAGTAATATTTCTACTGCCAATTAGTTAAAAGTAACTGATTGTCAGGTAAAAATAACAGATTGTCAGTTAGAAATAGTTGATGTTTGAGTAGATTTTTTTAACTGATTCAATTAGTCAAGTTTAACTAATTTTTCAGTTATTTATTTTTTTTTTTACTAAAAAGCAGTCATTTTTCCACTGACAATCAGTTATTTTTAAACTGATAGCAGAAGCAAAAAGTCAGTCACTGATTGGTTGTTAAAACTATGATTTTTAACTGATTCAAATGTAGAGAGTACTATGAGTGAAAAATTTGTACCTTGCAGTAAGTTTGCCGCAAGATTGCCATTTGGATGTTATTCAAAATTGGTTTTCATTGACACTAAACTTAAAATTTCCAGGTGGAAGCAACTGATAATGAACGGAACAATGATTACACTGATCTTATTCTGTTTATTCTGTAATATATCAGCTCAAAACAATTCGGAGAGACCTGACGATTCAACATACAACGAATATTTCCAAATTACACCATTCAAGACGAGCAGTGGTGTCTACTATGAATACGTTGGAGAAATGAGAAGATCCGTGAGCACTTGGAGAATAGCAGTTTTCCTTGATATCGATCGTCAGCGTAAATACTTCAACGATTTAATAGCACGATTAAAAAAATTAAAAGAGCAATGCAGAGCCAAGGAAAAATGGTGCCAAGATTTAGTGGTCCTTTACAATTGGGAGGACAAATGGGAAATGGCAGAGGAACTACAAAAAGAATATCAAAATCAAATTGAGGAATTATCAATCAGCAAGAAGAGAATGCCGAAGAAAATGACATCGCAACTTCGCGTGAGAAGAAATGTTCCTCTGCTGGGATTTTTGGGTAAAATTGCCGGACCAATTGCTGGTGTGTTAAATTATGAGGATGGCGAACGTTATGATGCTGCTATTGAGGATTTAAATGCGGCGAACAATAATCTTTCGCTTCTCGTGGGAAAGCAGACGCATGTTGTTAGATCGCAACTTGATACTTTGTATCTCAAGGTTCAAGAGCATGGGACACATTTGCAGAATTTGCATAAACATTTGGAGGATTTGTTGGAAAAGTACAAAAGTGTGGTTAATGTTAGAGATGAATTGGAGAGGAGGGATGTTATGGAGTCCTTGTTGGGAGCGTTAAAATTGGGTCTCGATCACAATATTCGAACGACTTCGACAATGTTGAAAGCTGTACATGAGGCGCGAAAGGGAGAATTTCATCCGGGTTTGCTGACCTCCGAACAATTGAGACCCATTATTCGGGACATTCAGGACAATCTGACGGATGTTAGTTTTCCACTTTTGGGACCACGGGTCAGTATTGACGAACTAATTCAAATATCGACCGTTAGCATTCACTGCGAGAAGTTTAATCTGAAAGTTCTCATTGACGTGCCACTTTTGGAAAACCACAAGTACCAGGCATTTAGAATCCATCCAGTTCCAATTGTCCAGGAGGTTCTTGTCAACGGCACAGGAAGAGCATACATTAAGTCAGAGTACGACTATCTAATTGTCGATGACGAGGAGCGAACCTATCTGCTACTGATGGAGGATGATTGGAAGTCGTGTAGAAAAACAAGTACTTATCACGCCTGCTTGAAAGGAGTACCAATTTACGATATTAGAGAAAGACCCATTTGTGAAGTACTACTGCTACTAAATCCAACCATCAGTGCTCTAAAATCCTGTGACATTCAACTAACAACCAATCAAGAATCCTACTGGAGAACTTTAAAAACCCTCGGCAGTTGGATCTACTCCTTCGCTCGTTCTGAATTAGTGACAATATTCTGCCATTCCACCTCGCCTTTAAAAATAAATCTCCAAGGAGTCGGAATAATGAAACTAGCACCTGGCTGTTCGATGAGAACAAAAGACGCTACCATACCAGCAACAACATTTCAAGCTGGTCAATCGGAAATGATCTACGAATCACAATTACATCTAAATCTAACAGCATTGTCCCAAGCGATTTCAAATTACGGACATCTTATAGCAAAATCCCACATTGAAATCGATAGTCTACCTGAAATTGGATTGAATATGTCTAGTTTTGAGGCAAATTCGAGAACACTCGAAGATCTCGAATATCAATTGGAGTCATTTGCATTACAACGGCATATTAAAGATAAACAATCCGTACTCATCTATGGATCCTATGGAGGAATTACAGTTGTTTGTCTAATTATTGTCGTCTACTTTTGTCGGCGACCGCTAAAATTTGGAACTGATTTCTTGACTAGTCTTTTGTGCTTTTGTAAATCAAGATCGAGAAATATGGAAATATCGACAAACGCTATGAAAACGGGAAGTATTGTTACAGTATCGTCAACAGTACCTTTGACTTCGGTTGCAATGCCAATGGAACTTATGCCGCAAAATCAGTTTGAAAATTCTGTGAATAGACCGATTTGAGACATTCCGAAAAAGTCAGTTAAATTTATTTTTATAATGTCAAAATAACTGATTAGTAAAAATAGTAAATTTTGACTATTTTCTTTTTCCTTATTTATTTACTATTAATTAGTAATTTTCTACTAAGAATTAGTTACTTTTTGACTAATTGATGAAGCAAAAAGTCAGCCACGATTTTACTAATAATTAGTAATTTTAAACTAATTCAGATTTAGAGAGTAAACAGGGCTCGAATTAAGTTCGTAAATCCCGTAAAGGTCCGTAAAATTGTTTGAAGTCTGTAAAAGGCAGTTTTTTTTTTTAAATTAATTTAATTAATTTTTAATCCGTAATTTGATTGAGAAGAGACGAAAAGTTCGTAAATTGTACGATATAATTTGGAAAATTTTAGAGAAATTACAAATTATTGCAGAAATTCAATTATTTTCAAAAGTAATAAAATTCTTCGCAAAAATTCAATTATGTTCAAAAATTTTTTAAAAATCTCGTCAAAATTTCAATTATCTTTAGAGATAATTAAATTTTTCTGCGAAATTCAATTATTTAAAAAAATTTCAATAAAATTCGTGGCAAAATTTCAATTATTGTCGAAAATTTTCCAAAAGAATTTAATTATTTAAAAAAAAATTAATAAAATTCTACGCAAACCTTTAATTATTTTCATAAAATAATAAAACTTTCACAGGAATTCAATTATTTTCAAAAGTAATAAAATTCTTCTCAGAAATTCAATTCCGTTAAAAAAATGTTTTAAATTCTCGTCAAAATTTCAAATATCTTTAGAAATAATAAAATTTTTCTCCGAAATTGAAATATTTTCAAAAATTTTAATAAAATTCTTGGCAAAATTTCAATTAATATCAAAAATTTTCCAAAACAATTCACTTATTTAAAAAATAATAATATAAATAATTATTAATAATTATAAATAATATAAATTTCACAGGAATTCAATTACTTTCAAAAGTTATAAAATTCTTCGCAGAAATTCAACTCTATTAAAAAAATTTTTTAAATTCTCGTCAAAATTTCAATTATCTTTAGAAATAATTAAATTTTTCTCCGAAATTCAAATATTTTCAAAAATTTTAATAAAATTCTTGGCAAAATTTTAATTATTATCAATAATTTTCCAAAAGAATTCAATTATTTAAAAAAAAATTAATAAAATTCTATACGCAAACCTTTAATTTTTTTCATAAAATAACCAAAATTTCATAGAAATTCAATTATTTTCGTAAATAATAAAATTATTTTTAGGGATTCAATTATTTTCACAAATAATAAAACTCATCGCAAAATTTATATTATTTTTAATACAATTTTAATCAAATTCCTCGAAATATGTAATTATTCTTTGAAGTTTTATTAAAATTTGTTAATGAATTTAATTATTTAAAAATTTATTAATAAAATTCTTTATGAGAATTCAATTTTAAATAACATTCAATTATTATTCAATAAATGATTTATGTTTATATTTAAATAATTGAATTCCAGTAGAATTTTCTAATAAAAATTGTTATAAAAATGGATTTCAGTTATAATTTTAGATTAGGTATAATTGAATATTAAAAGCATTAGATGGTGAATATTTAGAAATAATTGAATTTTATTATTTATTATTTTTATTATTTATTATTGAATATTTATTTAATTAAAGAATTTATAAATAATTAAAGTTTTGTTTAATTAAATTGCAAACAAATGAATTTGAAAATTCTTAAAGAACTTTTTCAAAAATTATTAAAAATAATGCATTTACAGAAGAATTTCAGTTAAAAACACAAAAAAAATTTTAATTTTAGAAAAGCTACAAATTATTGCAGAAATTCAATTGTTTTCAAAAGTAATAATATTCTTCGAATTTCTTTAAAAATGTAATTAAAAATTAAATTCTTAAAATTTTTATAAAAATTCGTCGAAAGAATTGAATTATTTAAAAATTTATTGATGAAATTCATGGGAATTGAATTTTAAGAAACATTTAATCAATAAATTATTTATTTTTATATTAAAAATTTTAAATAATTGCTTTTTTTAATAAAAATTGATTTCAAAATAAATTTTTGTTAAAATTCGATAATAATTGAATATTAAAAGCAATACAGCTTGAATTTTTAGAAATAATTGAATTTTAAAATTAATTTTTTTGAAAAAATTGAAATGAATTTTTTTTATATTATTTTAAGTTTTTATTTTCTAATATATATTTAATTGAAGAATTAAAGAGTAATTGAAATTTTCTAAAGTTAAATATTGTAAACAAATGGATTTGAAAATTGTCACTGGTTCGAGCCCTGAGTAAGTAAAAATAATTTTTCGCAATAATAAAGTTTCATTGGATATTTAAATTGGATGTTAATAAATATAGTTTAAATTTCGTTAGATTTAATCTTGTTTACGAGAGAGTTTTCATGCCATCTGGACGGAAACTTTACGAATTGTAAGAGCGCGAAATTCAAATTTATTGAAACGAGAAAGCAAACTATGTGAACATAACTTTCGGAATAATACGGTTTCAGTATTTAAATTCGAGGTTAATTGGTCCAATCTGTTGCTTTACCATCTGTAAGTCAATTTACAGAAAATATTTGCGCGAAATTCGAATTTAATTTTAATGAAAGAGAAAAGTAAAACATAATAATGAACAAAGTGGGAAAAATACAATTAGATTGGACAAATTTTTGCAGTCACGTTCGCAATATTAAACCAAAAGTTCTTAGTTTTGGTTTAATATTGCGAACGTGACTGCAAAAATTTGTTCAATCTAATGGTATTTTTCCCCACTTTGCTCATTATTAATAATTTTTTATTTACCAAATTTTGTTAATTTTTTATTTACCATCTATTTTTTATAGTGTAAATTGTAACTTACGAAAAAAAGGTTGTACTTAACAATAATTATTTTTTACTCTTATTTTTAATATATATTTTATGTCATTTTATTAAAATTTTATTTTAATATAATTGTAGAGTTTTCATTTATTTGTTTAAAAAAAACTCGCTTTTTTCTTCATAATAGGTATTGAATGTGATACAAAAAATTTGTTTTTAACCATAATGATGGCGAAATAAAAATTGATTTATTATTAAAAATGAAAGAAAGTTTACATCAATTGGCGAACTATTGAAAATTAATTTCGTTCTTTTAAAAAAAAAATTCTCCAAATTCTCGCTATTAAAATTTTCATGTTTGAATGAATAAAAATTGATTTTTAATATACTGAAAATCAATATTTCTAAAAAAAATATTGCATTCTCTATCAAGAATTGCATACTTGGTATTTAAATTATTCCGTTTGGGATTTTTTTTTTTTGACTAGTTTAGCAAAAAGAAAAAAAAGTCGAATCAAATTCACTCAGTGAATTTAAATTGACACAAATGGATTTAAATTCCACTGAGTAAGAATTTTTTTCGACATAAAAATATATATGTATATATATAGAGAGAGAGAGAGAGGAAGGGAGGGAGAAAAAAAGAAAAGACCAAAACAATTTGTGTGACTCTCTGCGCGTCCGGAGAAAAGTGGATGATAATTTAAGTTAAGCTTTTGGAAGTGGGATTATGTCGTGTGCTAGACAATTCAATTAAAGTTCAACTTATTTGATGATACTTGGTCGTTTCACAGAAAGATAATCTGCATACGTAGTACGGCGAAAAAAAAAAATTCAGAACAAGATTTAGTTTTTACAATATGAGAAAAAAGAATAATATACGAAATCTCGTTTTTCATTTCTTTTCACTTTCATTAATTGAAATATTTTTATTAAATTTCTTTCCTCTCGTTCATAGTCTATTTTTTGCAACAGAAATACCAGTTTTGAAAAATTTATTTTATTTTTTCGCTAAGAATTTTCTTTTTTTTGTTGATCGGCAGAACCAATAATTGGATGTTTTTTTATTTGATTGTTTCAAGCAACATTTGGTTGCTTTGAATCAAATTTAGTTATTTCAATAAAAATTTGGTTGTTTCTAACAAAATTTAATTACTTCAAAGAAGATTTAGTTGCTTCAAACAAAATTCAGTTTCTTCAAAAGAAAATTTTGTTGTTTTAAACAAAATTTGTTTGCTTAAATAAAAATTTGGTTATTTCTGACAAAATGTAGTTACTTCAAAAAAAAATTTGATTGCAGACTTCGCACTCGATAATTAATTTTAAAAAAAAGTATCAAAAAGTAGCTTTCAAACTAAAAAAGTAGTAAAAAAGTAGCTATAGAAAAATTAAATTAAATTTTGAGCAATAACATAATTTTATTATTATTTTTAATATATAGAAACAATTAGTGGAAATTTTGTGCAAAGCAAATAATGTATGTCGTTGAAAAGTTATTTTACGTAAAGTAGGTACCATAATATGAGGGTAGATATATTATTTTGCAGGGGCAAGGGGAGAGAGAGGGAGGTTTTAACATTTGTAAGCTGCTGCTGCAAAGGTTCTCACGACGTTTGCCACTATGGACTTGTTTCCGGTTGACCGCTATAACGTTAGCCAGAACAGTGGTCGTAACAACCGTAATGCAGCGTAATCCATATTGCATGTGTTTCGCGGACAGTTGCCTGCAAGCTACAACTATGACGTACCAGTCCAGATTCAACATTTTCATAGAATGAACCTGCATTGCACAAGAGATGAGTAAATCGCTCAACCAAATTTACCCCCATCTCTCACTCTCTGTCTCTCATTCCTCTACATTTTCATCTAAATATAACTATGCATATTGATTTACATTTTCCAAGAGAAATTATCCAGAAGTTAATTGCAATCCGTTACTATAAGCCGTAAATGAACTCAATGAACTCTTAAAATACAATACCAATTTCAGTTGAACAAACAAACGGTAAATTAGAGCTGCTAGAAATTACGATTTCACAAAAAAAGGAAATTAAAATAACAAAAGAAGGGAAATTCGATTTTTAATATTATATTAACTTTAATCGAGAATTTAAATTTTTTAAATAAAATTAAGTAAATAATAGAACGAAACAAAGAAAAGAACAGTAAAAAAGAAAATAAAGAAACGAATTTTAAAAAAATGAAGAAAGAAACTAAATAAAATTAATAAACAAAGAAACAAATAAATAAATAAATTGAATAAGGAAACAAATTAACATTTTTAAAAATTTGATTTTTGATATTAATTTATTATTGATCGAGAATATAAATTTTTTAAATAAAAGTAAGTAAATAAAGAAACTAAACAAAGAAAAGAACAGTAAAAAAAGAAAATAAAGAAACAAACTAAATAAAAATTAATAAACAAATAAATAAACTGAATAAAGAAACAATAAAATTTTTTAAAAAATTGATTTTTGATATTAATTTATCATTGATCGAGAAT